CAGCAGACCGAGAGTTTATCAGAAGGTCTCCCAACTCGCTCGACTGCCTCATCTGGCCATGCCGTAGTCGACCGTTGGGCCCTCCTCCTCCTCATTCTCCTCCTCCTCTTGCCCTGCTCTCCCTCTCTCTTTGCCAAATTGCACCCCTCCTAGCCTGCCTATTGACTGCCTGACTACGCTTCTCCTCCACCTCTCGTCCTTTCACCGAGAGAATCAAAAGAGAAGAAAAGAAGCGTTGCGTTGTACCGTAGGGCTGCAAAAGGCCTCCTCCATGGCGACATGATCAGAAGAACCCAACTCTCGGCCTCGCCCTCGGCGTTGTCGTCTTCCAATACTACCTCTCCTCCACCGCCGCTGCTGCCCCGTAGGTGCCCTTTTTTTTCGCCTTTCTCACTCTTCGCTCTTCTCTTTGGCTTCTGGTTCCCACACCTCTAGGAGGGTCGTGTTCCTTCGCCGTGCCCAGGCCCAATCGACAATGGGGCCGCGCATCAATGCGCTCTGTACGATGAGCTGGCAGCCGAACCGACGCTGACCCTACTTTGCAGCCCTCTCGCCCACCCTCACCCATCGGTCTTCTCGAAGCCACACGCCCTCGCACAGTACAACTGTCGTCGACGACCCGCCTGCTGAGGCTCCGCCCCGGTCCTCTTCGCCCCCGCCGCCCAGGTCCTCCTCGCCTGGTCCACACCAACCCCCCTCTGCCCATCCTCCCTCCTTCGCCTCGTCCTCGAACAACTCGACCATGGGCAGTCGATCTGGCTTCACACAGGACAGCAATCATCCTCCTCCTCATCACCACCATGACCGCCCCTCGACCACGGCCCACCGACCTCAAATGTCTGCCTCCATGTCTGCGCCTGCTGGCCGCCTGCCGCGCCTGCTCCCGGCTGATCTCTCCTCCTACTCGGACCCATACCTGCCTACAGGAGCCATACCCACCTCGGCCACTTCCCTCGCAGAACTCGCCCACCTGATCCGCCTCCAGGGCTACCAGGAGCAGCGCAAGGCCTACTCGCGCGTCCGTCTGCACCGATGGCTCGTCTCCAGTGCCCTCTCTGCCCGTCTGGTCCATTGCGGTGAGCTGGCCTACCGCACCCTCGTCGACAATTTCAGGTCCGATGACAAGAAGGGGTTTGCCTCGTTGTACAATGCCCT